AGCTTTGCTTTTGCCATATGGGCTCATCTTTGTGTGTGTGTGTGTGTGTGTGTGTTGTGTGTGTGTGTGTGTGTGTGTGTGTGTGTGTGTGTGTGTGTGTGTGTGTTGTACAGAGAAATGCAATAGCTCAACACGACGTTACTTCCTCACTGGTGAGAGGAAGAAGGGTTGAGTCATTATCCAGGGAGTCTCAATGACCTTCGTGAAGTGCAACCACGTGCAGCGTATCTAAGTGGGTTTTACACACGTGGAGAAGCGTGAAGATACACGGTAACGTGACAGTGAAGCGAGGACCTTGGGGGCTGGTGCAAGGTGTGGATGCCTCCTGTGATCGTCTTTAAACCTTAAGTACTGGTGTATCTACGTTGGAAGTATTATACTATCTTAAGCTGTACGGCTGCCAATTTCCATTTGTTTGCAAATTTTATCAAACTGGATTTAAAAAAAAATGATAAGTAATTTTTCTTACATGATTGTAGATAAATTTAACTAGAATGTAAACGAGAAGAGAAAACTTTGTTTTCCGAAACATTCTCACCATTTTAGTTTGCTTTCTCATTTTTGGTTTATTACACAAGAACGCCGTATTCGATCGATTTCAAATTTTCAACGTATGTGTGATGTATCTTGAACAAGATTCACAGAAGTATTTGCATGCGTGGGTGTCCTATACGCAACGCTACATAGGTCATTCGCAAATTTTGTTTCCTTATGCTAGTTGGAGACAGTTTCCTCTGATCAACTTGAAAGTTTCAGCAGTGGTGTATCCTACTTAGAAGAAATTTTGTATATTTAATGGAGTGTGTAGATGCCGTTTTGCTATTTATAATCTCGTAATGGTATAGTATTTTTTGACCTTCCATTATTTTGCCTTGACGCTGGTGAGGGGCTCTTGGTCTAAGGACCCGAACATATTTTCTCCTTGTTTGGGCCGAATTTGAATGCTCTCCATTCCACAGACATGACACTATATGGCTTAGAGGTTTCCTCTGATTAAAATATAACAAGTGTGGACAGTGTTACGACTTCGATGTCGTAACTTAAAATGTTTCTGGCTCCTAAAGGCTGTTCACACTGCTGTCTAGGGGTTATAAAATTACTCTAAAAAACACAGCGACCCTTGGGCCAGCATGTACTCATATATTAAACAATATTAATTATTATTAGGAAGGAAAGACAAAAACTCACCTATATAAAAATATTTCTATATTAATAGTAACTTAAATACAACTTATAACTACTACAAAAAAACCACCACACTCCAGTTCACATTAACTCACTAGCACACTGTTACTAATGAGTTAAAATAAATGAACATTTATGAACAGGGAGGCTCCATGACACCCCCCTTTCTACAGGCTACTTAGCCTACAGTGGAAACGTTAAATACTCTCCAAAACACAGGCCCCTGCATACTAGGACCTTACAGATAAACATGAGAGCACTTAAACACAAACACCTATAGTATACACTAAAAAACTTATCAAAATTACCTACTCAAACTACCGCCCAAACATGATGACTTCGCCCCCCGTCACCACCTAACTCTGCTGAACTAAACACGCCTCTCATCTGCTCCTGTCCTGGCCACTGCCTGACTGACAGGAATAAAACACGTTCTCTTTCAGGGAATAATACACGTCCACTTTCAGTATACTACACGGAAAATGACATTATATATGGAGCGTTATTTTATATAAATATTTTTTTTTACAGTATTCCGTAACAACAGCATCAATCTTCAATGGTTAATGTATCGTATGAAATGGATGGAACGTGTCATGAGTTTAGGCTGTGTAGGCACAAATATTGCTTGATTCTGTGCAATAACTGGGAAAATGCATCTGTTCTGTGCCTATAACGTGTGTACTTAAGAATATTGATAAAAAAAATGTATGTTATGTACACTAAGCTTACATAAAACTTGCTTACAAATTGGCCAATCTTATTTAGAGAAAAGTTTGGATAATTTTTTGCCTGTTTAGATTCCAGTTTTTTTTTTTTTTGAGGGGGGGGGGGGAATTGAAAGGCTACTTTTCATGCGGCAATTTCTGAGTATCGAATCTGATTAACTTCAACACTTCCATGCTGACTACTTGATAGTATAACTTCTGAGCGGCTTCAAGCTGACTGAATGTATGTTTTCGAATATTGGTCTCTGGTCCCTCTGATAGATTTAAATCAAATTTTGTGTGCATGTCAAAATTTGTTCCTTTTTTTTTTTGAGCTAAAGAAAATTTTATATTAGTTTCCATGTGACTTTTTTAACTGTCTCTTTTGATTCCTTTCAAATCTTATCAATTTATGCCGTACTCTGTACTGTTCCTATCGCATGCATTGAGGCAGAAGGAACTGGGGTTATGGAATACGGAAATACCTTTATCGCATCGCCCAGCAACCGTAATACATCTAGTTTATTATGCACCCCACATTTAATTTTGTGGAGAGTAGCGCAAAAACATATGGATATACACAAGGCCTAGGAACTAGGCCCCAAAGGTCCAACAGGAGTACATCTTGAGTTATATCTACAATTTGTCCTATATCTTGCGAGTAAATTTGTGGTATTTTTTGTATGTCTGGTATCTTACTTTCATTAACAAGAGACTTTCACATATAGATTATACTGTCAAGTTCTGTATGCATCGGTAAGTGGCCAGTTAAATACAGTGTTCAAGAAGTGACCATTGGATTGGCATTTAGTTTGGTCATCTGTGTGTGTGTGTGTGTGTGTGTGTGTGTGTGTGTGTGTGTGTGTGTGTGTGTGTGTGTGTGTGTGTGTGTGCGCGGCGCGCGCCAAACTGCCAAAAATACTTGTAAACAAACCTAAACCTGGTTACTACTTATATTCATTCCTGTTATTATAGTGGGTTATAAATCTTCTCAGGCTTCTAACTGCGGTCCTGTAACATTTAGCTTCATTATTTACTTCTCTCCTAATAGTATTCCTAACGCTAGACACGGACATACCCAATCCATATTTATTTTCCTTTAGGATACTTTCCTAAGCTAAATTTTTTCATGTTGTAATTCAGTATGTGATGAAATCCATAACAATAATACATGAAATTCCTTCTCTCTGATTCGTGAGTGTGTACACTGGCTTCTTCAGTGAGTAATTCGATCATTATGTGAGTCAAGTGCCTTTACTGATGACACTCAGTAATGATCAGTGTGTCGTAAGTTAATTTTAGTGCCGTTCAGAAAACAAAGAATTCAATTTGCAATGTAGAAGAAGCCCAGTTGTTAATTCTTATGCCTAAGTCAACATGGTTGCCATAGTTCTTGTTCTGGATACGGTAACAAAAGCTGAGGCAGCCTCGCCATCTTGGTATCCTAGTAATAAAATTTTTGATATTGTCTTATTGCACTAATATTTAAAATGATAAATGCTACATTTTATTTTGTTACCCGACACTAAAATCTGAAAAAAATGTCCATATAAATCACCCTGAAAGCTCGGGCCTTCTTTATTTGTAATATATCCTGCATATTGGAAGTTGCTGGTAACTTATACCTCAACATACTACTGTACTGATCTTTTACTAGCTTATTCCTGTTTTTCTTTTAACTTTTTGCGTTGAGGAAAAACAGGAGGAATCTTAAGAGTTAAGGTGAAGGAGGGCAGTGGTAGAGAGGGAAGGAGGGGAGTGGTAAAGAGGGAAGAAACAACAGTAGCGACATCAACAGCAACAGTAGCAACAGGAGCAATACCAACAGTAGCAACAGCAACAGTAGCAACATGAGCAATACCAACAGTAGCAGCATCAACAGCAACAGGAGCAATACCAACAGTAGCAGCATCAACAGTAATACAAACAGTAGCAGCAACAGCAACAGGAGGGGCAACAGTAGCAATATAATCAGAATCTTTTCAACATTGACATCAGTAACAGCAGTAATATTAACAGCATCACTAGCGTTATTAGTAGCAGCAGCATTATCGGGGGCAACGACAGCAGCAGCATTAGCGGGAGCAGCAACAGCATTAACAGTAGCAACAGCAGCGGTAGTGAACACAGCAGCAATAACAGTACACAAGTAACCGTAAACATGTAACTTGTGGTTACAGCTCAGTCTCTACCTGTCTTAGAGGCAGCAGTTATGGTGTAGCACATCAAGTGTCACTCCTGCTACTGCCTCGCAACCTCTGAAGATGTACCTCCATTGTGTTACTGCTGCCTCTCAAGTTGTACCTCTAGTGTCGCTGCTGCTGCTGTGTCTCAACCTCTCAAGTAGTTAGGGAGCGGGGGAAGAGGTAGGAATCTCGATGGTCACGAGAGAGAGAGAGAGAGAAACAAGTAACTTTAATATACAGAACTTTGGCTGGACGCTACTGCATAGGTAAATACGTAAGCTTGGCTGGTGGTTGCGTTGCGTACCTTCCCGGCTCGCGTAGCCAATGCGTAAACTTGGCAGTGAAGGATAAGGTGTGAAGAGGCTTTGTTATAACCTAGTTAAATGGAGATGACAGGAGAGCTTTTGGTTGATGGCACTAGAATATAGCACGATGGTGAAGCTTGTGCATATGCGTGGGAGTTTGCATATCTAGTAACCATCAGTATGACACACAGCTGGTCATCTTTCCGAGCAGCTGTGACCTCCGCCATCTATGCTTTATGGGTGATTCTGCGCCAGGTCCCTCGTAGGCCCCATCATTCGTCTGTTTAGATAGGCTCCTCGGTGAACTAGCGGTTTTGAATCAAGATCGAACAGAAATTAATAATAATTAGTAAATTATGGTTCACGGCGAACCGAAACGTTTCAAGTTTTAAAATTTTAATTTCCGATTTGTGGGTTTATGAATAATAATAATAATAATAATAATAATAATAATAAAGTTGGAGCATTGAGACATTCGGCAGGTTTCCCAGTCTCCGGACGTGGAGTTGAAAGGAACGTGTTGTTTGATCCTCAGGCAGTCTTTCCCCGGTGGTCCTCCAGCCGTGGTACACACGAGTCGAGGAACAACCCAGCCGCTGTTAACATGAAGTGAAAGCTGGAGTGTGAAGGCCGGGGTGTAGCTTGCTGCAGTGGCTTAGTCAGCGCAGAGCCACGGGTGTGTGTTGCTGCTGCTGCTGCTCAAGTGAACCCACCCCTCTCCCCACATCCCTAAAACTTGTTTGTGGGAACTTCGTCATCAGACTAACCTCTCCCCCCTAGTGTTTTATGCGTCTTACACGAGGAATATTTGCTTGTGTTCGTGAATGTCTGAGAGGCTAGTCCTCAGTGTTTTCCGTAAATATTTGGTTCAAAACTTTGAAAGCGTGTTAAAACCTATTGTTGTCAGGTTTTTAAATGACAGCTAAGTGGAGAGGGGTAAGAACAGAAACCATAGTGGGTTTCTGTAAGCCCTTTAATAACGTAATAACTTTTCATTACCAAGACATGGGTCCAGTCATAGCTACAAGGATCATTAACGACTAGGAAAGTTCTTCACTGTCGTTCATTCAGGGCTCTGTGTCTTGAAGACAGTCTCACTGGCACAGAAGTGATCAGAAACCCTGAGAACAGAGCCCGCTGTAGTGATCTGAAATTAGTAACCAGTGAAGTGTACTTGAGAACAAAAAGAAAAGAGTTACAGCCGGTATAGAGGTGGCAAATAATACAAGACACGTAATAGGAACAAGAACAAATCTTACTTTAAAAGTTGTGCATAGTTACGGCAATAGGCATTCATACGGTTGTTGCTGTTGCTGCTGTGGCAGCTGTTACTACTACTGCTACTTGTAAATCAGAGTGCACACCGTAGCAGCCATGCTAACGGTCGCCTTCGTTATTGAACCGTAAGTGCTGCACCTGACTCCATGGTCAAGTGCTCCAGCTGACCCCGTGGTCAAGTGCTGAATAATCTTACGACCTCAGGTTGTATAGCACCATAGTCTTCATAATGTAGAACTGCAGCCGTCATAATGTATCTGTAGAGCTGTAGCCATTATAATACATCTCAGTAAAGTTGTAGCCTTCATAATACATCTCAGTAAAGATGTAGCCTTCACAATACATCTCAGTAGAGCTGTAGCCTCATCATACTTCAGCAGATCTCATATACTGAATGTGTTTTTATTCTATAAGTCAACATTTTTTATATTATAGAGTTTGCTAGATTAAAAGCTTATCTAACTTGTGTGTTTATAAACCCAGAGATACCCTATTTTCAATTTCTGCAAATAGCTTATTTTAGATAATGTCTAGAATCCTGTACCAACACATCTAGTGTTCCTCCTTTCTTATGTTCTTATGTTCTTATAAATAAGCTGGTCTCCGAGTAACTACACGGGTGGGTCAGTTGAGCGCATGGAGTAACTGTTATCTTGGCAGAGTGAACCACCTGACCATATGGTGTAACTGTTAATTTGGCAGAATGAACCACCTGACCACATGGTGTAACTGTTTCAACAAATTTATCAGTCAGCCGGCGTCCTGTGTTCCAGCCTTTTGGATTAGCTGACCTATACTGTGTGCTTACAATCAAAGTAACTTATTAGTGTTTACGTATCCGGATCAACTGGCCAGAATTTGTTTACATTCCCCTGGATCAGCTGATCAGTGTACTGTGTTTACTTTCCTCTGGATCAACGGATGATTATACTGTATTTACATACCTGTCAATCATCTGATTAGTGTTTTCTGTTGAGAGAGGAAACAGACACTCGTGCACATATTTAGGACACCTTTATTGAAGACGTTTCGGTCCTGGAAGCACGAAGAGTACAAGAGATTGCAGACTGTGTACATTCCTCCATAATTAACGAGTGTGTTCTGTTTACTTTTCCTGGATCAGCTAGTTAGTGAGTTTATATTACTGTGTGAATAAGCCGATCTAGTTGACATTCCTCCGCGGATCACGTCATCGCCCATTACTATTTTTATAAGTGCAGCCTTCCTCCCCACCCTTTTCTTCAACACACGTCTTGATTTTTATACAAAAGAAAGCCTAGGCGTTCACTGATTAAACGAAAATGGTGTAGATTATACACTGGAACGACTCGTACAAAAAATTTTTTTCTTGCCTGCAAAACTGTTGAGATTTTTTTTATAGGGAACACACTCATGGCTGGAGCATCACATTTCGTACATGGGAACGACAAAATCCGAGTCGAGAAGAGGGACTGTATATTTCAGTTTATGGTCCTTCATAGTCTGAGCTGCTCTTTGTATTTGGTTGTCTCGAAGTAGGTTGCTTCGTTCACACTGAGTAGTGTTCGTTGCATGACCAACATTGCCCTGCACGTGTGTAAATCATAATTGGAGGAGGAGATACGGACGGGCGAAGAAGGTCGGTGATGCTTGAAGCTGGAGGTCGAAGAATGTTGTGGCCGCAGTTGTGAAGATGAGCTGAAAGTAATTTGTCGCCTGAGAGACTGTAACCACTGTAGAACCTAGTCTAAACTATGTGATGTTCTCTCTCTCTCTCTCTCTCTCTCTCTCTCTCTCTCTCTCTCTCTTTTCTGGTCAGAGAGTAAGGAAATGCAAGGCTAATGGGACACGAAAAAAATATGGAAATGTGTGAAATAAAGGCCGAAACATTTATGAAAGATAGGGAAACAGAAGATGGAGGAGGAGACAGCATATAAATTAACGATAAGAGGAAGAGAAATGGACGAGACTTGCAATGTAGGTTTAGAACAGAAGGATAATGAAAGATGGGATCCAAGAGAGGCGGTAAAGACGAGGATGCGAGGATGTGATAATGACCAGGTAGAGAGGAGATACTAGCTGACCGAGGACAGTAAGAAGTGACTGACAGGAGAAACTAGCATGGCGAGCAAGGACTATATTAGTCCATGCTAGGCAGCTCCATCTGAAACACTGATGCATTTATCCGACCTGTAATTGCAACTTCCCGGTTTGTATTTGTTCATCCTGTCTTTGCACCCCTCTTCAAGGGGGCTCCTTGTTGTGGTGAAGAGGCTCTTGGTCTGAGGAATCAGACCTGTCGGTCTCCTTCCTCAGACCGAACCTAATTACCCCCCAATCCCCCCTCCCTATCCCATCCTCCCCTTTTTTCTTTCCTCCTCCTCCCCACCCCTCCCTTTTGCCCTTCCTCTTTTTGGCCTTTGGGATTTCTCCCACAGGTGCGCTAGTTCCTAGGTAGGGGAAAGGATACCGGGGTCCATCCCATTCTGTTGAGGTTCTTGGCGGTGGCGTAGTTTGCTGTGGAATCTGGATCGCCCGGGGATGTCCCGGTCCCTGGAGTAGCGTTGGGTGTCTTTCGGGCGACGGGTGTATCTCTGGAAGCCACCTTTCGGATTCCGGGGGTGGTGGCCGAAGGAGGTATGCTTTGTGGTGGATATCCGGCCGCCCTCTCTTTTGTCCACCGAGGTAGCTCGGCAGATGTGAGGTTGCTATCCCGGATTGCTGGTTTGCTGGCATGAAGGGTAGGGTATGGCACAGGTTCCATGCTGCATCTGCGCTACTAGCGGTGCTGAGGTCCTCTTGGGCGCGGAGGGAGATTTCCGGCCCTTTCATTTCTCCTGGGAACTATTCCTCCCCGCTTCCCCCTTTTTTTATTCTTTTTTTTATTTTTATTTTCTTTTCTTTCCTTTTTTCTTAAAAACAAAAAGCAAAGGAGTAACCTAACCATGGAGAACCCAATCCATGAACCCCTACCCCCGGGGCCCCTTCTTGATACCGCACCCCATTTTGACCCTCCCTTATTTTTAGACCACTCTTTGGACACTCCTGATGCCCCTGTACCTCTTGCGGGTTTGCTGTTTCCTCACCCGCTTCAGGTACCGGGGCTTTGACTGACTCCTTCGATTTGTCTGAACTCTGCTCCCCTTTGACTATGCTTCCCGGCTTCTCCCTCTAGGGTACGGCAATTTTCGAATCGCCTGCCCATTTTCACGCCGGACTAACTCCAGTACTACTCCTAAACCCCAAACGTCAATTCTCCTGATGATGCTCCTTCGTTACCTTCCCATTCTACTCGGAAAAAAAGACCGACACATCATGCACTCCCTCTCCACGCTCAGTTTTGGGACCACACAATGGCCTAAATTCTTTACTGTAAGCCCGACTTCTTCTTCGCCTACCTTTCTGACCATAGTATGGAAAAGTGCTCCGCGTCATGTTGGTAGAGTTTATTTCATTTCATGCTCTCAAGAGTGGTACGTGCATCGTCACTGTCCAGAATGCTACCCAAGCTCATGATCTTTCTCTCCTTTCGAATATCGATTACTCCTATCACTATTGAAAAATATCTTTCTCTCAATTCTTGTAGTGGTACTGTCATTCTCCCCCATACCATAGTCCAACAGAATTTCCAGTCATGTGGCAATGACATTCTTGAAACAGCTGGAACTTCCGGGATCTCCCAATCCTCAAAGTAGACACTTATGTCCTTCCTGCCCGTGGGCGGAGACGTTACCCTTGCAATGTGGCTCATTTAACTTTTGAAAGCCGAGAACTCCCGTCCTCTGTATATGTCGCGGGTCATCGGTTACAAGTTCGAAAGGTGATCCCTACACCGCAACAGTGTAGAACTTGCTGGCGTTTTGGTCACCCAGCAAAATATTGCAGATCTATGGCCGAATGCCCAGTCTGTGGTGCCGACGACCATTCTAATACATCTTGCAGTCAACCTCCATCTTGCCTTAATTGTAATGAGGCTCATCCTTCGTACTCTCGCCGTTGCCAGGTCTACTTGAATGAGCGTGAAATCCGTTGCCTCAAAGAAGCAGAAGGTCTCCCTTATGCTATGGCAGTTACTCATCTCCGCCTCCAAGGGAGACTACCCCGTGTTTCTTATTCTCGTGTTTCAAAACGTCCCCCCACATCTGGAGTCCCCATCTTCTGCGCCTCCTCTGTTGTTTACCCCTCCATAGCCACTCTGGCATCTAATCCTTTTGCTGTCCTTGGCTCTGACGTCCCGACTACAACTCAGTCTGTTCTCACATCTTCACGTCCTTCCTCACAAGCCCCGGTATCGACAAGACCCCGTACGACACCTACCAATCGCCCCTCTACTTCTCAGAAGTCCAAAAAAAACCCCAGTGCTCAAATCTTCGTTGCCCCTTCCTTCCCTTTTCCACCTCCCCACTTTACCTTTCCAGTCTCTGTACCTAGTTCTTCCCCTCTATCTGGCTCTATTACAAATGTGGAGGTTCACCCTCCTCGTACTATGCCTTTCCCCCCCCATCCCCCCCAAGTTTCTCCCCCTTCTGGCCACCTCCCAGGTTTCTGCCTCTTCTGTCCCCCCCACTTCTTCTCCCGTCCCCCACACTCTTTCGTCCCCCCTACTTTGGTACGTCCATTACTGTCCCAATCTTTACTCACTCTCCTCCTTCTACTCCAAATTGTCTCCCATACATCTTTGAATTTGAAACACTTGAAGCCATTTCAAATATATTGCAGAGACTAAACCCTTCAATGGACACTGATCCACCTCCTGTTCCTTCTCTTTTCCCCCTCCTCCATCTCCCCAACTCCACTCTTTGCAACGCTCCTTCCTTCGCTACTTGAACGCCTTCCAATGCCACCACACGTTGACTTTTCTAACCCCCCTAGTCTGTAGGTGCCCTTCCTACGGATTCCTGGTATTTCTTTGCATCTGGCTATTACAGTGGAATATCCGCGGCCTCAGGGGTTAATCGGGGGTGAGCGCAGGTGGTTTCTTTCCCGGTTTTCCCTGGTTGGTGCTTGCTACAAGAACCAAAATTTCACTCAGTGTTTTCCAAACCCCTCCAGGCATAATTATTGTATTCGGTTCCTTTCCAGATGGGACCTTATGAAGTGTCTTCTTCTAGCAATGATATTCCGTACTGTCAACTGTTCCATACCT